CATACAGGGATAATTGTCTCCATTCAGAGTAATACAGTAGAATTACAAACAGCATTTCATTCGGCAACAGTACAAACAAGTTACTCACAATGCCAATGGAGAAACTAAACAAACCAGATTTAAAAGCAGGCAAAACAGTAACAAAAATTTAAAAAGTAAATCTGTCAACAGCATTTTATTATTAAAAAGTATAAATCGTTGCCAACCTACTGGATACTGTAGAATCATAGAATAGCAGGGTTAGAAGGAACTTCAGGAGGTCATCTAGTCCAACCCCCTGCTCAAAGCAGGACCAACCCCCAACTAAATCATCCCAGTCCCTATTTTCTTGAAATTATCTCATTGTTTGTAGGAATTTAGCAAACTGCAGCAGTGTTAAATTGCACAGCACTTTAGGAAGCACATTCCTTCAAACAGTACCGAGTATGGCAGAGATTCAGCTAGCTCTCATTAGTTTCATACAAAGAACTAAAAGCTCATGCCAAACAGGGCTGGCAGATCATCTAGCTGGAAACTACTATTCTGTGACCTAGTTAAAATTAGACAGGAGTAGCGAAATGTAGTTCCCTTGATTAAATGAGGAACCTAACCATTGAGCAAACACAGCAGCGGGGGGGGGGGGGGGGGGGGGACTGAACAAAAATATGGCTTGTACTAAAATGCTCTTGCATGAATTTCTGTAGTCCTTCTGAAAAATTATAAGGGAGACTAGCCATTAATATAAGTAAAATCGCAGAATGTTGAAACAAAATAGATTTAAAGCTTTTCTAATCTCAAATACTGCTTTAGTTAGGACTTCAATTCACATTAAAATGAGGTTCATTCTCAGAAGATGAAATAAGATCTCCATCTCTCCCATCCAGGTTCCTGTGAACTTGCAACATGGAGATAGAAAGGTAGACTTCAAGGACTTCAATGGGGAAAAACAGTGAGATGCAGGAGATCCAGGGCCGGCTCCAGGCACCAGCCCACCAAGCTTGTGCTTGGGGCGGCACCTGGAGGGGGGTGGCCCGGTGCTCCGACCGCCGGGGAGAGCGGGGCCACGGCCGGGCTCGCCGCCCTCCCCCCTCTCGCCGCCCTGCCCCCTGCGCTCTGGCCGCTGGGGGGAGAGCCGAGCCCCAGCCGGGACTTGCCGCCCTCCCCCCGGGGCTCCGGCCGCCCTCCCCGCCGCGGGGCGAGCCGAGCCCCAGCCGGGGCTTGCCGCCCCCCCCCCGGGGCCCGGGCCGCCCCCCCCCCCCGCGGGGGGGGGCGGGGCGCGGCCGGAGGCTTTTTTGCCTGGGGCGGCAAAAAAGCCAGAGCCGGCCCTGAGGAGATCATGTATTAGGAAAAGGGAGCAATGCAAGGCCACTATGAAGTGGGACTGGGAGCAGACCTTGCAGTATGTGCCAACTTTGCGGGTAGCATATTTCATTTGCAACAGTTCATTTTATTTTTCCTTCACCTGATCAGTTTTCTCCTACATTTCCACTGGTGAGACTAATTTCCTTTGTGAACCTAGTATTTTCAGCTAAAACATAGATTACAGCACAGGTACCTTGGACATTGACTCTGCTGGAAGTTACAGTTTCCATCACCAGTTCTTATCCAACATTTACCCTATTAACTCCATCATACTTTGTACACCTTGGGGATATTTTCTAATTTTCATCAGAGATGGGACAAAGACTTGAAAGTTTTCTAGCCTCCTGCTCACTGTTATACACGGCAAAGCCTCACTTGTTCTACAAAGAGTCTAAATAAGTAAAATTTTGCAGACTGAATAAACTATCAGTGGCACCAGTATTTTGAATGCTCAGCTAATTTAGGGACCTATTCTGTCACCCTTAGTACTGAATAGTACTTCACTCTACTGAATAGTCCCACTGAAATCAACAAAGCTGTTTGTGGAAAAAGGTACTAAACACAAGCAAGGATGAGAGAAAATGGCCCTTAAAAAGTGTAATGTTTCTAGCTCAATGTTTGAAAATACCAACAGATCTAGGGCTTATGAAACCCCTCTGAAGCTAATCATATGAACACACAAGGAGGTTGTGGTATCTCCATCATTGGAGATGTTTAAAAGCAGGTTAGACAAACATGTCAGGGACGGTCTAGGTCAGGGTGGGCAAACTTTTTGGCCTGAGGGTCACATCGGGGAATAGAAATTGTATGGCGGGCCATGAATGCTCACAAAATTGGGGTTGGAGTGCAGGAGGGGGTGCGGGCTCTGGTTGGGGGTGCAGGGTCTGGAGTGGGACTGGGGAGGAGTTTAGGGTATAGCAGGGTGCTCTGGGCTGGGACAGAGGGGGAAATCAGGGCTGGGGCAAAGGTGCGGGAAGTGGTGCAGGTTCCGGTTGGGGGTGTGGGCTCTGGGGTCGGGCTGGCGAGGAGAGATTTGGGGTGCAGGAGAATGCTCTGTGCTGGGATCGCGGGGTTTGGCGAGCAGGAGGGGGATCAGCACTAGGGCATGGGCAGAGGCTCAGGGGTGCAGGCTCCAAGTTGCGCCTACCTCTAGTGGCTCCCCGGAGCAGCGGCATGTCTCTTCTCTGGCTCCTAGGCGTGGTGCAGCGCCGGAGCGGGGCCGAGCTGCGTGGTGAGGCCCCCAACATGGCACCCCGGCTGAAGTGGGGCCAAGCCGCATGGTGCGGCCCCTGACATGGCGCCCCAGCAGGAGCTCGCGGCGTGACTTAAAAAGGATCACAGGCTGGATCCGGCCTGGGGGCCGTAGTTTGCCTACCCCAGGTCTAGGTAATACTTAGTCCTGCCATGAGTGCAGGAGGCTGGACTAAATGACCTCTCAAGGTCCCATCCAGTCCTACGATTCTATAATTGTTCTGGATGAATAATAAGGGGCATAGCTCTTCTTTCACATTATATACATAGATCTTTGCACTCGAGTAACCAAGGACCTGATTCAAATCTGCAAGATCAGCTATGAGACTATGTGTAACTGAACCCAGCAACTGCCTCCATCATCAGCACCAGTTTGGTTGTGATAGCTTTCTTTGGTCCAGACTTATTAAGATGGAAGACCAACGAATTATGAAGTGTGTTTACCAAGGAATACCAGTACATGGTCGGCGACCACATGGCTGCCAAGACCTTCAGTGGCACAAAAAGGCCACCAGTGATGGACACCAGTGAACACCCAGCCAGACTGTCTAAAGGGCATAGCTAGAGATCGATCCAGGTGGTACTCAATCTACAAGGAGGCTACATCTCTGAGATTTGCCTTGATTATTCTTCAAAGCTGATACACGAGGAAGGTTTGGGGCTTTCCTAAAAAAACCATTTGTACAAACAAAAAACAGCTGTTGATTCTGTATTTTGATATGACATTTTCCCCCAAGTGACAGGTGACAGCTGGGCAGTGTAGAAATGGTAATGGGAGGAAGCCAGTCCATACACAAGATGATGACTGGGCTGAATGAGCCACTCTTGTAAGGATGTGCTCCTCATAAATGTTAGCCATGCTTGGGAATATACAAATTATGCCAAATTTGTGTGCACATCAGTTGAGGTTCAGAGAATCGTCACCTTCCCTATAGCAGGGGGAAGTTATTAAAAAGGAGCACTGCGGCTGATTTTTATCCTCCTCAGTAACACACTATTGCAGGTAGAGGAGAGGTGATGGCGGATGTTAAATTTAAACCTTAAAAATATCCACAGCATGAAATCTTCACTGCCAGCTAAATAATCTTAGTTAAAAACCAATACTATTTTAGGGAATAAATGTTTCTATTTGGTCTAATAAAATATATTATAAAAACATCCTCTAACTGTCCTTAAGACCTGTCCTTTTAATTCCTTGAAAAGTGAAGCTGTATATTATAAGATGGAATGTTTGTGAGCTCTGATGGTTCTCACTGTATTTTCTTGATATAATAAAAAAAAAAAATAGGGTGTTCACAACTTCAGATTATTGGCCTGGAAGTAAAAATTAATCTGATTCTTTTTATAGTCCATCATCCTTAGAAATAAATGCTGAACCAAGAACAATGGTCTCTCCTAACTTCTCATGTGTGTCTTATTCTCAGTATGCCAATAGCATATTAGAATTCTCTGTGGAAAGAGATCAACACGTGGTCTCCCAGTGTTGGCTTTATAGAGGAACAGCAGAGTCTGCTCATAAAAGGCAGCTTATATAAACAATCCATTTGGGGGAAAACTGCTTCGCCGTTGAGATTAAAGGGCATCATTCTACCTATGATGAACATGAAAGGATAGTACCATTACAGCAACTTCTGTTTCTCCTCTTGAGGCTCAATAAATGATATTAGGGTACACGTTCTGGATCTTCATCAGGACAGCAATATTAATAGTCTCACAGACATACAAAAATATACCTGGGAAAAGAACATGCATAAGAAACTACTTCTGAGGAAGAAATGACTTAATGAACAGCAAACGAACAGGAACACTGTCCACAAAAGAAAATAGGTGGAAAGAGAACATTTCCGGTCTGTGAGAATATAGCCCTAGCCTACTCCCAGTACAATTTGTGCAACTCATTATCACTTTAAAAGCCTAGTTATCACTCCGGGACCAAAAAATCGTCTAGTATAACCAACTGTAAGCCAGAATTTGTAAGCAAGTTTCCCTAGGTGACAAGCCAATTTGTTACGCACATCACCACAAGTCTCAAGCTTTTTCCAACAAAATGTAAAGGCCTCAAAAATAGGAGATGCTTATAGTTCAATTTGTTTGGTACAGTAATCGAGAACAAATCTACAGCATGTTGTGTCCTGTGCCCCATGCTTCTCCCACACATACATCATAAGAACAGCTGTACAGGGTCAGACCAAAGGTCCATCTAGCCCAGTATCCTGTCTTCCGACAGTGGCCAATGCCAGGTGCCCCAGAGGGAATGAACAGAACAGGTAATAAAATGATCCATTCCCTGTCTCCCATTCCCAGTTTATGGCAAATGGAGGCTAGGGAAACCATCCCTGCCCATTCTGGCTAATAACCATTGATGGACCTATCCTCCATTAATTTATCTAGTTCTTTTTGAACCTTGTTATAGTCTTGGCCTTGATAAACATCCTCTGGTAAAGAGTTCCACAGGTTGAACATCCTGTGATAAATGATGTTGTTTTCCTCCTCCATTCAGCAGGTTATGAGTAAGTCTTGTTCACGGGAGCTCCGGTTCCTACCATTTGACTGGGTTTTGTCTACGTGATTGTTCAGTATTTACATAAGCATCATACAAATCTCTTAGGTGCAACAATAATTCCTCCAGATTGTCTCCTGTCAATGCAGATAGTGGGATGACTCTCTGCTCCACTCGCTCCTTAAGTAGTAGTAAGTTAGCCTTGGACTGAGGAAGATCCATCTTATTCCCAATGACAGCATGAGGTCTCTTCGACAACCCTTCTTCATACTGCTCTAGTTCATATTTTAAGTCTTGGAGCTGAATCCATGGCTCAGACACAGACAGATCCACCACAAATAAGAGAAAGCGGCAGTGTTCTATGTGCCTCAGAAAGGCCAATCCAAGGCCCCTGTTTAGATGAGCTCCTCTTATTATACCAGGAACATCAGCAACTATAAACGAGAGAGAACTGAATGTGAACACAACATGTTTAACTTAAAGAGGTTCTATTTGTCTGTCTGTCAGTCTAGGTATTTATATAGCTCCTTTCAATATAGTCTCTAAGAAAGCATTGCATGAGTTTGTCTGTCTATCTCCTTCAGCCCTGAAAAAAAAATCAAGTAATTTCACCAGAGACACTGGATTCAGCTCAGAAGTCTGAGGTCAAGAGTATATATATATATATATATATATATATATATATGAAATACAATACAAGGTTTAAAATTTATTTCACATTTACATCAGGTTTGTAGCTCCCTAGAACTAGTAAGCTCCTAGAGAGTCATTTTTACAGTTTTATTTTTTTGTCTCAAGCAGGAACATAAAGGGAGACAATCAGATGTCACAACTAAAAGTAGTAATTATTATATAAACAAAATCTCGTAACACATACCTGCCACTTGTTCATAGTCTTGGTAGTGAACAATGCCTACATGTGGATTTAAGGTTGTGAACGGGTAGGGAGCCACTGCAGGCTTTGCATTGGAGATTGCTCGCAAAAGTGATGACTTCCCAGCATTGGGGAATCCCACCTGGAACACAAATATTCAACAAGGCCACAATTCCAGATTAACCAAAATAAAGAGAGAATGTTTTCTTAAAAATACGTATCAATGATTCTTTAGTCGTTGTCATAACTCAGGCCTGGTCTACACTAACACCCCAATTCGATCTATGGTACGCAACTTCAGCTACGTGAATAACGTAGCTGAAGTCGACATACCTTAGTTCGAATTTACCGCGGTTCAGACGCGGTCCACACGCGGCAGGCAGGCTCCCCCGTCGACTCCGTGGTACTCCTCTCGCTGAGGTGGAGTACCGCAGTCGACGGCGAGCACTTCCTGGTTCGACTTATCGCGTCCAGACCAGACGCGATAAATCGAACCCGGAAGTTCGATTGCCAGCCGTCGAACTACCGCGGTAGTGTAGACCTGGCCTCAGAGAGCTGTACAGCCATTTGTGCACAAATGCATCAGTTTTGCATGCTCACATCTAAAGATATCTGGGCACACATTTTTTTCTATTTTTAATTTTTCATTATATCATTAACATATATGAGCTTTCCATACAAGCACGAACAAGACTTACTCATAACCTGCATTTATTACTGTAAAAGACCCATCTCCGGTTGGTCAGCCACTCGTCAGCTATGTATTTATTTTCAAATTCCAAAAAAGTGACCATACATTATAAAAATCTACTTGATTCTGACATAAGGCTTGTCATTTTTAACATGGACAGGATTTTCCATGCCATGGATGTTGGCGGATCTATCATACATCTGACTACTAGGAGTAACTATCACCAATGGGCCTTCCTCAGAATCAATCATCTCATTTGGACTATAAGGTAACAGAATCATAATATACTCTGTGGGTAAACTAACATTTTTCTCTTTATTCTTCTATTGCAGTCTCTCTCTGAGCCTAGTTTCCCCTCACTCCTAAAGCCTACATCTTGAAACACTTTCCTAGGAAGTCTATGCTTGCTGGGAGGAATGGTCTTAGAACAGCCTTAGGATATCCTGTCTGATCAGACAAGTGTGTGCAGAGTCAACAGCACTTACATGAAACAATCAGATTTTCCAGCCTGCTGGGGATAATCATTCTGAACAACTGCCATAATAAGTATGGTAGAGATCTGGACGCTCATGGATTCACCTTGTCAATTTTAAGCCCCGATAATGCTCCCATTAAAGTCAGTGGCAAAATTCCCATTGGCTTCTATGGGCACAAGCTGGATTTAGTGCTGCCAATTTAAGACCGAGAGGAGATTGCCTAGGCTAAGATACAGCTAAGTTTATTGAACCACCTATGCTGGTTCACTTCTTTTTCTTTACAAAGCTCTTCTGGGCCGGACAAACGTTGCAAGATACATGCACTTTATGTACTGTTGTAAAATAAGGGTTTGTTCAACAGCTCCACGAGAGAGATCAAAAAATTGCATGGATTTAAAAATGAAATCAGCTGAAACAATAAATTGACTTAGCATTAGCATACCATTCAAACTTAAATGCGAAGGCAAAATTTACATATCTGAAACCTATACAAAAAGCTAACAAAGTTTAATACCAATAACAATGCAAAGTAAAGAGACTGAAGGATGATTATGTTTTTGTTAAAAAGGGATGTTATTTAAGAGCCATTAGTGTTCCTTGATGGTTTCTAGCTGTAACATGCTGTCTCAGGGCATGTCATCACGTCTCCCAGAAACAGCTTGTCCAATTACTTTAAAAGCAGCATACAAAAGTTCTCCTTCAGTGGCAGAAGCCCCTAAGTGCCAAAGATTGGGGGTTTGATCCCTGATGATAACTTGGCTGCCTGTATATATTCAAGCCCTCTGTTATGTCAAGACATATTCTAAAGAGACATTTATTGGAGACTGTTTTATTATTGCAATTATTACTGAAGCCTGTACCTTGTTTCCTGTTGATTTGGCATGAAGCCTTTTACCAAAAAGATATGGCATCAAGTTATATATAAAGCAGTAACAAAAAAGTGACAGAAGGGCAAATCACTCAGGATATTCCTCTACTAAGTAATCATTGACATTCATCTCCCACACAAACTTGCTGAGAGAACAAAATATAACAAAGCAACATTCTTTCGTCAGCTAGTCAAGTGACATCCTGGAAGTGTATAGCAAAGGTTAATAAAACAAAAAAGGCAATACCCACCAGCCCTGCATGTGCCATAGTCTTGAGCTCCAGATAGAGGACTCTTTCCTGACCTGATTCTCCTAGAGTAGCTGTCATTGGTGCTCGATTCTCATTGGACAGAAAGAACTGGTTACCCTTCCCTCCAGTTCCTCCATAAGCGGCAACATATTCTTCGCCATGCTGAGCAAGATCAGACACAATTTTCCCATCCTCCTTAACTAGAGTGCCTACAGGAACCTTGAAAAGAGAGAAAGTCCTAAGCAAAAACAAACTATGAAAGTTCAAATACTTAACAGCTGTTCCCGGCGGCTGGGGATGTTTTCAGGGTCTAGCTAACACCACAACCTCCATCTCCCAGCTGGGTGAAAGTGTGAAGAGAGTCATTAGGACCCAGATCTAGCAAGAGAGACCAAATAAGCACTCTCACTCTAGACCCAAACAGCACTGACAAACTGTCTAAATGTTGGACATTTAGAACTTTAATGGTACCATACTTTTTTTTTTTTTTTTTGTGTGTGTGGCCTTTTTGTGTTCCCAGTCCCAGGTATCACAAAGTGGTGGTGAACCAATTCAGGATACCAACATAAGCAGATTAGGGATCATATTGGGTAGCTAAAAGGCAAGGTAAGAATGATTTATATTTTAAAACAAATTAAAAAATAAGGAAGCAGCAACAGACATAATCAGACGGGAATTTGTTTTTGTTTTTTAATTAAAAAAACTGAACCAACGTGATGTATTACTATTACCACCTTGCTGTGGTGTGCATGCGCGTGTGTGGTTTGTCTGGGTTTGGTCTTCCTCTCTACTTGAAAAAATGCTTACCTGATTTGGGGCATGACCACAAATAAATTATCATCAATACATAAAGTCACGCCCCAACAGCTGACACAGCTCCAAAACAGACTCTGAAGATTGACTTTATGGATAACACTAAATACAGGTATAAAGCTTAGGGCTGTATCTACCGTAGGCAAAAAAGGTGCTTTTTAACGTGTGTTAACTAGTGTATTGAAGTCTTAGTGGAGACAAGGCAAGTTGTAGTTTTAAATATATTAGTTGGTCAACATAAGCCCTAGCTAACGTGTTAAAAATACATCTCGCTTCTAAGCCTTGTCTTCACTAGAAAGAAAGGAAAGCCTCCCTTCATTTGTGCTAATAAAGCATACGATAAAGTGTGAAATCTGTTCTCACATGGGATCTGCAGACAAACTGTCAGAACAAACAACATTGCTAGAATATATAGTCATGAGCTTGGAAAGCATAGTAGGGATAAGCACCAAAATGGACATGTCCCAAGTTGTGTGTGTGATTGCACTGCCTATATGAATTCTAGAAGCAAAGGCTGGTGAGTATTTGTTTTAGCGAGATGCAGCATGCTCTTTCAGAGAGGTTCTGGTGTGTGAACAATGAGAACAAAGTGGTTTGGTCATGCCTGTGTGTGAACCAGCCCAGATGCTATAAACGCTCACTTTGACTAGTCCCACTAGGACTACTCACATGCATAAAGTTACTCACACAGATAAGCTTTTGCAGGACTGAGGCCTGAATTCTCACATAAAACTTTCAAAATAGTCAGCAACAGTATCTTACTTTAATATATGTGTATCCACCATTGGCTCCGTAACAGTTTTTGCTTCTCCCTCTTTCTCCATCAAAACCTCGATACATTGGGAGGACTGAAGCCAGTGATTTGATTTGCTGGTCAGCTATAAAGCAAAACACACACTTTAAAAACAGAATTGCTGATCCAAAACCAGAAAGTTAGAAATCTCTTCTCCCCTTGAAAGAAGGAAGTAACTCCGAATAACAGGGTAAGAGACAAATGAAACTAAAAAACAGGTATATCTGATGAGCCGATTTAGTGCTTTTGGAAATAACTTCTAATTTCAGAGCAAAACACAAAAGTCCTAGTCTTCCCAAAACATCAAAACATTAACCACTGTAAAAAACCTCTGACAAAACCTCCACTCTTTGTTCTCTGTTTCTGTTAAGGAAAATCAAAGTGGATAAAGATTGAATATTTCTTTTTAAATTAAAAAGTTGGATTTTTTATTTAATTCATTTTTTAAAAGACAAATTAAATACTTTTGTCTTTTTAAAAATAAACCTATTTAAAATTATGACAACCGATATTAAGGGCTAATCTTATACTCTATTAAAATCATTTACATTAAATAAAAAAAAAATATTCAGTTCGTTTGCTACCAAAGTTTTAAAGAAAGTCAAACCAGTGAACTTGTGAGTCACTGGCTAAGTACTTGAAACCAGAGTTTGTTGAAGTGCTAAACTAGGTTTTGACAGCAGCAGCCTCTTCCACAAGTGTAAAGAGAATATTTTCTTCTATGTTATTTATTCAGCTAGTTAAATTCAATGACTATTTCATTCAAAGTTAAGTTACTGATTGGAAATTAAGCAGGAAGGTTTGTTGTCCTCTTTCAATCTATGAATAAAAACGAGGTGAGAGGATGAGATCTACTACTTCTAAAATCTTGAAAGACATGGTGACCAAAAACAACCAGTTCAACTCACTAACTCCAGATACTTCCTTTTTTAAAGAAATCAATTAGTTTTAAATGCAAAACCTGTTTTGATTAACTTACTTTTTTCCTTATGTATCCAGCATATTTCAGATAGTTTTATTTAACTAATCAAAAACAAATGTTCAAATACTGTTTCTGTGCATTTTTCAATGAATTCTAATTTCCATTCAAATGCAACTTGACACAAATCATGAATAAAAAAGAATCTAGTAAATAAGAAATGTCATTTTCCATTTATCATAAAAAGTGTTTAAAATGAATCTTAATAAATTTATGTTAAGCTATATAATTGCTTAAATAAATGTGTACAGATATAGTATATCCTACTGGTTAGCAAAAAGAAGTACCCAATTTAGTGTCAAGGCTATATTTAGTTACAAATCAATATGTTTAATGTTTACCAGCCAATCAGAATCAACCTTTCTTTAGGAAAATAACTACAAAGTACAAATGCAAAACAAGTTTAAAATCACTGATTTAAATCAACCTAGGGAAATTCTCTGCTTTGAGTTTTCCACAGATGTTATGCCAATTAGTAGTTTCAAGTCTGTTTTAAAGGTCATATACTATATCCATTTTTATGTGTGTATTTTATTCTTCCCGGATTCTTACACCACTCTCATTCATATAGTAGTACCTGAGAGTCTTCCAGAAGTGCATTAAGAAACATCTAGCATCTGTCATATTTGTTCTTTTTTTCCTCCCAAGAGGTTATGTTAGATTTTTTTTTAGTATTTATCCAGCTTACACTTTTGTAGCATTTTATGTTTGCTGTGCCATGCATTTTTATTACTAAAGGCAAGGTCAAAGAAGCACACCTGGAATGTGTGCGTTTAGTTCTATAAAGAATAAATGTTGGCTTTACTCCCTGCTTCAGGAGCAATCTGTGTCAGTGTGGGAAGATGACAGAGTATTTTAGCATTTTCCGAGGCATGTGCTATGAGATATTAAAAAGGTATTAGATTTTCAAATCAGTTTGACCTGAAATATTTTCTAGCTAGATCATGTAGAATATCAGTGTCATTCACATCCCCTTCACAGTGGCTGTCCTTGGAAGTATTGCAAAGAACAGATGGAGTTAAGAAAAAGAAAAACATTTCCCTGTCATATATATTTATTAGTTCTATCACTCAAACTCAGTTTGTGGAAAGACATCAAAAATACCTTTAAACAAAGGGACAATATTTAACAAGCCATCCCTTAATCTGTGGTATACAAGACAAAAAGGATATGCAACTTTTACCTTTCAAAATAACATGGCCCCCATCTCCTCCGTTTCCACCATCAGGACCTCCAAACTCTTTTCTAGGCTCACTATGAAAAGAGTTAATACCCTGTCCTCCGCGGCCTCCAATCACACACACTCTTCGATGATCTACAAAATATCGGGTCTGCAATGGAGAGATGGTTTCATATGATTTCTCTACAGTTTAGTGAAACTGTATCAGACCTCTGTTTCAACAACCTGAAGGTTTCTACAAAACATAGCTATCTTTAAGCGTCAGGAATTCCAATTTCCATTTGAAAATCAAAACCTATAGCATAGCTACAGTTCAGACATCAACCAAAGAAAGCCCATTAATCTAGCAATTATCTTGAAGGATGTACACAGAATCACACATGTTAAGAGACCCTTAAAACACAAACATCTAACATACATCTTTGAGTTTCCATTGGCAAAGAATTCCAGAGAGAAGATGCTCAAAGATCATCCTCCCTAACTACGTATATTAGGAAACTATTAAAACGCTAATGAACATCTACTGAAAAAAAATAAAAAAAAATGGGTGAGGTAATATCTGGACCAACTTCGGATGGCGAAAGAGACAAGCTCTGAACCTTACACAAACCTCTTCTTCGAATGAAAGAAGCGAGGAAACTCAGTAACCTAGGTAGTTGGCAGTACATGGGAAATTTTAAAAAGGCCAGTCTAAGCATATTTAAAAGTCTGTATGCTCCATGCTGACTAAATTTAGAGTTTCCAACCTCTGCTCTGACCTGGAATTTGTAAGAACTTTTCCAACAGAGTGGGAAAAACTGAAGGCATTTTGTGCATGGAGTCCAAAAAAAAAAAAAAAAAAAAGTACAATGAACTATGGATGATCCAAGAAAGATATGTGGGTCTCAGCAGCACTAGGATATAAAAATAGCAAGCTGTAATAATATTGTAAAGATGAACCTGTTCTCTGGCACAAGCTATCATTCACTCCAAGCTAACTTAGACTGAACCTCAAGATTTGGCATTAGACTTCTGCAATAATAAGCAGCTAAACTCCTTACTGCTTATCTGAAATATTTGAACCTCAAGCCTACAAACCTGGGCTGGAAAGTTACAGGAGACTCTCTGAAGAGAACCTATGGGCAGGGACTGCATCTTTCTTATATGATTGTACAGTAGCTAGCACAATCCTGATTTGGAAGCTCGGTGTACTATTGCAATACAAATATTATCACCTAGCACTTTTGTTCTACTCATGAGCACAAAATGGAAGGAATGAGGCATTCAAATATTTGAGAAATGAGTAGATTTGGTTCTTATACATGAGCTAAAGTTTGCATAATGGATGAAGGGGAGGGCTATTTTCTGGTATCAGTTCACTACTCCAATTATGCCATTCTTCATGCAAACTTCAATCTTCATTTAATAAGACAGAACAGTCCAACACATCAAGAATTTAAGAAAAGATCTTTCTTGGGAATGGGGCAGGGTGGGGATCACTAAATACTTCCTATAGGCAGTGGTCCAGTGATTAAAGCAGGAGACAGTGTGAAGAGTCCTAGATTCTGACCCCAATTCTGCCACTGATTTATTGCATTACGTTGGGCAAGTCATTTTAACTTCTCTATGTACAATAGGGTTAATAATACTTATCCACCAATCTTTGGAAAATTTTCTGGGGCTCCTCAGATGAAAAGTGCTATAAAAAGTATTGGCATGTACATAGGTATTTTCTTGTGTGTCAAGATGTAGAGAAAAATTTACTTACAAATGGTAATAGAAGAATCTAGTAACACGCCAAGGGACTTTACAACCAGGTGGAGAATGGCAGATATTTTTTAAAATATTAAAATAGCTTGAGTGGTGAAAAATTCTGTTACTAGTAAAGTGACACACAAGCATCTGAGAAAAATCCAATTCTTGAATAACCAAAATTCCTTTTGCACAGTCACCAGTACAGCAGAATCTCAGCATTACGAACACCAGAGTTATGAACTGACCGATCAACCACATAGCATACTTCCAGTTCCAAATGAGGTATCAGGCAGCAGCAGACACAAAATAAATAAATAAAATAAAAAGCAAACATAATAAAGGGAAAATTTAAAAAAAGATGTGTCAAGGAAATTATTTCTGAGCTTGTGTCATTTAAATTAAGATGGTTAAAAGCAGAATTTTTCTTCTGCATAGTAAAGTTTCAAAGCTCTATTAAGTCAGTGTTCAATTGTAAACTTTTGAAAGAACAACCAAAATGTTTTGTTCAGAGTTACGAACAACCTCCATTCTCGAGGGGTTTGCAACGCTGAGATTCTATCATAAAAATGTGACCATTGCTAAAAAGCCTCTTTTTTCAAATGTAGTTAGCACCACCAAATGGCAAAATTGAAAACTGTTGTTTTAAATTAACTAGATGCAATTATTGCTTATTATAAAAAATGAATTCGTTTCCCTGCAGCTGAAATATAGAACCAAAAGGAAGAACCTAAACAAAAATGAGAAAGCCTATGATTAACTAGCTATTAAATTTAGGCAATTTGGGAGCTACATAATTTCTTTAAAAAAAAAAAAAAAAAAAAAAAAAAAAAAAAAAAAAAAAAAAAAAAACACACAAGCAAAACACTAATTGAACTTTAAAATGGCAACTGTCTAAAAAAACAATAATGTATTGTTCTATGTCATTTTTCCAACCCAAAAGAGAATTATGATAATTAAAACCTCTACAGCAGTAGTGGTTCTCAACCTTTCCAGACTACTGTACCCCTTTCAGGAGTCTTTGTCTTGCGTACCCCCAAGTTTCACCTAATTTAAAAACTACTTGCTTACAAAACCAGACATAAAAATACAAGTGTCAGAGCACAGTATTACTGAAAAGTTGCTTACATTCTCATTTTTGCCATATAATTATAAAATAAATGAATTGGAATATAAATACTGTACTTACATTTCAGTGTACAGAATATAGAGTAGTATAAACAAGTCATTATCTGTATGAAATTTTAGTTAGTATTGACTTCGCTAGTGCTTTTTATGTAGCCTGTTGTAAAACTAGGCAAACAGCTAGATGAGCTGATGTACCCCCTGGAAGACCTCTGAGAACCCCCAGGGGTACATGTACCCCTGGTTGAGAACCATTGCTCTACAGTGAAGCAACTTCTATAGCTACTACTACCACTGAAGTCATCATGAATAACGTTCACTGTGAACTGAGATTTTTATTACATGAAATACTTATTTACAACTATTTTTTCCACTATTCAAAAAGTTAATTATATTTCATAAAAATATTTCCTTATAATGTCAATGGTAAGTGGGGAATATACACAAAACACTCATCTCTGGGAGTGGTGTAGTCATTTAGCATACAGCAAGTTCTTTAAACGTATAGTAGGTTAGCCTATCTGAATTTTAGTTTAGACTTTACCAGCTTCTTTTCTGATATTGCTCTTTTTTGTTTCAGCCGTTCATTTTTTGCACACTTTGCACAGCTTGTGGAAAGAATCCTCTGCCAGCTCTTAACCTGCTGCTGCAATAAGCAAATCTGTATATGTGGTGAATATGCAGGTCTCCATTGCCGTAAGCCGTCCAACAAAACCCATGTTCTTGATGACAAGATTTTAGATACCAGCATATCCACCTAGAAAATGAAAATTATAGACAAAGGAACACCACTAACTAAAATTTACCTTTGTGGCTCTAGAAACAACTGTTTCACATGCAAATCAAGAGAGCAAAAAATCGGTTTACATAATGGGTTAGAAACGCAAGGTCCAAGGATTGATAAATATTTCACAAATATTTTCTAACTCAATCGCTCTACTATCCTTCTGAGAGTCAGACACAAAGCACATATGCCTCCCCTAAACTGATTTCCCTTCACCAATGCCTGTGCACATGCATTCATTACTGCAGGGCTGTTCACAAGCATGGACTATATATAATATGCAGAATCTCTATTTACTCAGCAGCAGAGAGCCAGCCCCTGCGCTCCCCCCCCCCCCGCCCCAGAGCCAGCCCCTGCCCCCCCCCCTCCCGTTGCCCCAGAGCCAGCCCCTGCGCTGCCCCAGCGCCATCTTCTCTTCCCCAAATCCGAACCCCCCATAGTACCCACCAACTGCGAGGAACTTTCCCGTGGTGGACCCGCCCACTAATACCACGTTCTCGTGGACGCAGAGGTCACGACCTCACGCAAGTTACGTCATCGCCCGTCAGATTGGCGCACGCGCAGTTCTTTCCCCTTCCCCCTCCCGTAGGTAAGAAAAGCGCGGGAAAACTATTGCGGTCAAATGCGGGCCCGAGCCGCGCTATCCCTTCCCCTCTTGGCTTTCAGCCGGCTGAGTGCCCGCTCATCCCCCCGACATCGCGCCTGTAAGCACGCAGGAGCCTGGGGCTGGGCGAAGAGCCAGCTCCTTAGATGGCCTCCAGTCACCCGATCCTTGCCCTGCCCACGGAGCTCGGGGTCTGGCCCCAGCCCTGGGGATGGGTGTGGGGGGACGCACCGTGTACAGGCCCAGGCGGCTGGGACCCAGACACAAGAAGAGGGAGTCCTGTGGGGAGAGCAGCGGGCATGTTCTCTGCCTGGAGATGCCCCTGTGCGTGTTCAAAAGCAGCTGTACAAAATCCCTGCTGGTCAGACGCTGAAACGACCTCGGGCCCTGGTTCCCAAACTGGGGTTTGCAAAATGTTACAGGGGCTCTTGGGGGGAATTCCCTAATGGCGGACGGAGCTGTTCCTAGGGTCCCCGGGCAGCACTGGGCCAGCAGCCCGGAGCCCCTAGACTTCCAAGAGCCAAGCAGCTCAAAGCAAGCGTATCTATCACACTGAGGAGATTTAAACTTCAAGACTCCTTATAAGAAATGGAAAGGGAGGTGGATGTTTTTTGCTGTTTTTAAAATTAAATTGGCAGCTAGTATTGTTTTTAAAATTATTATGAAGAACAAGTTTAAGCGTTGTTGTAATGTGTATTGTTTGCCTGGACTGCTCAAGACCTGAATGCCGGGCCAGTGTAACCACTAGGCGGCTGGCTAGGGCGCCAAGATTTGGGAGCGCCAAAAAGCGGTGTCCGGCGTCACAGGAGTCAGCTGAGCGGGGCAGGGCAGGGAGTGAGGCCTCCATAACAAACCCACCCCCGCAGCGAGGGGTGCTGTGCAGGACGGTCAGTAGGAGCCTGTGGCGGAGCAAGGAGGAGACCACCAGCTGGGCATGGTGACCAGCACGGCCAAGGGATGGAGCCGTTGGGGGAGGCAGGACGCGGTCCTGAGCTCAGGTGAGCTTTGCCCTCCAATGCGCCGTGCCTGGGGCCAGGTGCAGCTGCCTCCTGGGGCGAGGGAAAGTGAAACTAAACCCCACAGTGCAACGGAGGGGAAAGGGCTGGCGCAGGTGCTGCTTCCAAACACACACTCTCCCCCCCCGGTGGCACTGTGCCAACGTGGGGAGCCAGCCCTGATCCCCAGGGAGATCCTCACCTGCTCCCTGGGAGAGCCTGGCTCTGCCCTCCTTGCCCCTGGATCCCCCCAAAGGGCAGAGTACTCCGAGCCTGGGAACATTTAGAAACCCTGCGAGCTGGGGGCATTCTCAGCCTCCTCCTTGCTCATAGGTTCCCCGGGCCAGAAGGGACTGTTGTGATCATCTCCTCTGACCCCTTTGTATTAATTCTAATGAACAATGCCACATTATGCAGTATTCATTTTTGAAAGTTTATAATAAGCGATGCTCGGGAGGGTGCAAGGGCCTAGGGCGCAAAATATCCTTGCACTGGCCCTGTCTCAATGGTTGTGTAGGAGGAACTCTTTGAGGTGGCTTCTTAAATACCTTCATGCTGTTTCACATCTGATACTCCTTGATGAAACATAGTAGTCTTGTCTTATAGCAGGCTTATTCAAAGTGATACAAGCTACGAAAGTGAGATCTTGGAAGAGTGTTGCCGTTTTCATAATGTAATAATACTGTAATGATAAATAATAAATAGTGTGTAATAAGCATGTCACAAAAACAAATTTTATATTTCCAAGATTGCTGCTTTTATAATTTATGCTCAGGTAAAGGAGAAAATTCCTGGAAATATTCATTTTTAGGAGGGGGTTTGTGAGACTGACATTTTAGTGAAAGGGGTTCATAGGTTGTTAAAGTTTGGGAACCACTGACCTAGGGCTTTGTCTGAGGGCCCTGAAATCGTCAGTGTTTCCTCTGTTATCTTATCATGGCTCTTGAAATAGAGCCCTGGCCTGGCAAAGACGGGCTTAACTTCACTCCTGGGATATGGTAACACAGCAGCTGGGAGGATGCTTCCCACCACATTAGATGCATGTTAGCTCCCCATAAGGTAGTGCACTTAAAAATAGAAGTGGGGCCAGGGTGGCTGGAACTATCCACCTGAATCCAATCTTGCCTGCCCCCCAGGTACATATTTGGACACTAGCCTGAGCAACTGCCTGTGCTGCCATGGCCACCCTGCTATTTTTAGCGTGCTAGCTAGAGTAGAGCTAGCACATGTTTGTCTACCCAGGGTGAGAATTAACCTTTTGGTGCTGTGCAGACCTACCCATTGGAAGGACTGCCATTGAAGTCACTAGATGTACTTGCAGTGCATAAAGTTAAGTATGTGCAAAAATCTTTGCAATATCAGAGCTTTCGTCTCCATCTTTTGAGCCTGAGCCTGCTCCCATTAATATCATTAGGAGTTTTACCTTTGACATCAGTGAAAGCAGGGGACTTACCTGCAAAATTAAGTTACAGTCTATCCTCCAGAGACAGTGTTGGTTCAGCATAAAAGTATAATGCTTAATCTTTGCAGATTGAACAAGATTTAGAAGGGGTTCCCAAACTGGGGTTGGGACCCCTCAAGGGGTTGTGAGGTTATTAGATGGGGGGTTGCGAGCTGTCAGTCTCCACCCCAAACCCTGCTTTGCCTCCAACATTTATAATGGTGTTAAATATATTAAAAAGTGTTTTTAAATTTATAAGGGGGGGTTGCACTCAGAGGCTTGCTATGTGAAAGGGGTCACCAGTACAAAAGTTTGAGAACTACTGATTTAGAACATCTGAAAAAACTGTAGTAAGTGTTTTCACATGCAATGAGCTTTACCTGAAGTATGGCAGACTATCGGGGGGGAGGGAGGGAGTGTGATGAGGCATTGTTTCCAAAAAGTCTGCAATAAAAACTTAATCTCCCATTGTTATTACACTGGTCCTTTTTTAAAAAAGTCTTTGCATCATAGGAAAAGTACCATCAATAGGCTTTGCAATCAGTTCATTTTAACCTAAACCAGTTTCAAGCATTCTGTATTACAAAACAGAAAATGATACAATTAATGAAAAAAGTCAAAATGCTGGCATCACTTTTTGTTTCCACATTAATACATAAAAATGGACAACACATTAAATAAACATTTCGTTATTAACAATTAGAAATATTAACACCAAAAATCATGTATAAATTAGGAAATAAATGTACAAACTATTTCCAAAGTGCTCTTTCAAATACAGTATATACACAACATTCAAGAAATTCTTAATGTAAGACATTTCAGATAGAAGTAATGTTGCTGTTTAATTTTTTTTAAATGTTGTTCATATTCTCTCAAAAGGATTATATTAGCACTTTCAAAAACCACATAAAAGGCATATTTCCAAGCTGGCAAGGAACAATATTGCATTCTCCTGGCTACCTGTAACATTAACATAGATTAAAAAAAACTCATACTTCTTTTCTGTGCCTTATTTGATATTTAAAAGTATTTAGTTCTATGAAAATACCAGCAGGAAGGAAAAGAGAAATGAAGAATGAATAAAAATGCTAACTCCATTTCACTGATCAGCAATTAGAAGTGTTAATGCTAGGCAAGGGCAGAGCTTGAACAACATTTAATAATAAACCATTTAGCTATCCAGTATTAAGATTTTCCTTTTCAGGAAAAACAAATCCAAACCTGAAGTGTGATATCTAAATTTTCTGGGTGGTGGTAGTTTTCAGAATATAAAAATTCCCCAACTCAAAATATAATCCAATAAACACCTCAAAAGGAGAAAACTCACAGAGGATATATTTAACTCTATACTCTGAAAGTTCCAGTTAACCTTAAGGTAATATTTCACTTTTTTAAAAAATGTAGATTAAATAAATTTTAGCCATTTTAACCCTTTAGTCACAGACAATTTAGACATATTTTACTCAGCAGTAAAAATCCCATTTTTAAAAAAAATGTAAAACTGAATATAAACTACTTTTTACTTTTATTGTTCATGTTGGCTTTTAAGTACCACTGTCCCTATATTTCTCATTCTCCATCTATAGATTTCCTTTAATGGTTGAATCCCATTAACAATCACCTTTCCATATGCATAATGAATGTTCATAGTTAAAGCTGATTTACTGTTTTTTCCTTTGAAACAAAGATGGATTTTTTACACCAATTCTAAAGTACTTCTATCAAGCTACTAGAGAAAAGCAAAAGCGATGAATAACTGCAGAAAAAGTAAATTTGATAACCTGATTTTATTTACGGTTATAATGCTTGCTAGAAAATCTGAACTAGTAGGGCAATGGAAGAACCAGAAATTAAAGAGCAAACAACCGGCTACCTGGGAAATTTGGCATGAATATTTAAAAATTGTGATAAAATTTGGAGTAGCATATTTAAGACTGGAATGTGGTCACATGTTTGTCAGCTAAACATGATATGAAGCCATACTGATTTCTAGTAGACTTACAGATTCATTCCCAGAGTTTTCTTTTATTTCTTTTACCCATGACATATATCATACTTTCATGGATCTATAAAAGGTGCTTCTGGGTATTCATATTTCCTTGAAAACCGGTTTTGATCATCTCTGCACCTTTTACTACAAAAATGTGGAATTGTGCAGATATTACATTAGAAGACATGGGTAATTAGCTCTAAAAATTTGCTGAGCATAATGTCCTCAGCAAATGAAATATTACTTCAGTTGTTTTTATTTTTGTCTTATAGTGTGGAAATTGATTCAACATAAAGAATGCCCCCATCTCCATACCGTAAAGTAGTACATTTGAGAACCATGGATTTCAGAGGCTGGCATATACAACAGGTAAACTGCAATGTATCCAGTTAAACATAAGTTCATAACCTACATTAGAATAACTGCATGAGCAGAGATGTGA